TATACGAAATTTTCACGCTTGGTGGACTTCCTTACCCTACGATTGCGAATGAGGATCTACTAAATAAGCTTCTCGAAGGACATAGGAATACCAAACCACAGTATTGTCATGATGATATGTGAGTGTGAATTTGAATATATTAGATTGAAATCAGGCATCCAGTTGTTTCTAGTTATGATCTGATGATGAGGTGTTGGGAAAAGGACCCAAATGAGCGACCGAACTTTACTCAGTGCATTCATCATTTAAAGGAACAGCTGCGGAAAGCGTCTCCACAGGTGAGAATTGTCCGGTTTTTATATTCTTTTGGAACTGTTCCAAAATAATAGAGGAGAGGAGCGATGAAAAGATAATTTAAAGGCCAAATGTCAGCTGCAAGACACTTGAGAATGTGTTTGATTTGATTGGCAAATTAATTCGCGTGTGACATAGCTCTAAGTCTTTCGAAATAGATACTTAGCCTTCGATAAAAAAAAACTGGTAGTAAAGAAATGAATAACAGATTGCAGTTGACTTCAACGTGCTACTTATAGTTCTTGGATTAGGCATAACTTAACTTATTTAAACCTCAAAAGAGTAAAAATAACACGAAAGAATCCAATTATGCTAGAACTTATGAGCCTCATTTGCAGTTGCTAGAACGAGTAGAGCTGGATCTAGGGGAAGAATGCAAACGTCAAGATGCGCTTTCGCAATGGCTCACCCCTGAGCCGGACCCCCGCGAAGGAATCAACGGCTTCGGTACGGCCACCCCGTCATCTCCTAAACACACCGAACGCATTTACATCAGCGAATTTTCTCGGTAGCTTGCTTCGTCACGTCCTCAATTGGTCACCACTCTCTTTCACACAGATAATTCTTTTGAAAGCATTGTAATGAAGTCGACTCTAATGTTTTCTCTTCAAACTAGTCACAAATCGTTTCATATTATATTTATAGCAAAGTACTTTGTATTCTGTTCATTCTCGGTTTTAAACTTCTACTATGTGTTGTGTCCCTTTACAGTTGTGCTGTCTGAGAAGTAGAGTACGGGTATAGTTTCGGTTGATTTTGATTAACACTAGGAATCTTCTAGGTGTACCGTACTCCAGGAAAGGCCTTATATATCCAACTTATAAGGCTATTTGGGGAGT